GGACTGCACCTTGTGGAAGGCACCCATGCTGGAGCAGCTAGTGAAGAATTGGAGACCATGGGAAGAACACACTTCGGAGAAGCCTGTGGAAGACTGTCTTCCACAGGAGAGACCCCCCACCAGAGCAGGGGAAGGAGTCCTCCCCTTGAGGAGGAAGGAGTGGCAGAGACAATATGTGATGAACTGACCACAGCCCCCATTTCTCATTCCCCTGAACTGCTGCAGGGAGGAGGTAGAGAGAACCGGAAATTAAGTTAATCCTGGGAAAAAAAGGGAGGGACAGGGGGAAGGAGTTCAGAAATTCTGGTTTTATTTCTTATTACCCTGTACTGATTTAATTATGAACTAAATTAATTTCACAAGTTGAGTCTGTTTTGTCCATGACGGTGATGGGTGAGTGATCTCTCCCTGTCCTTATCTCGACCCAAGAGACTTTTTTTATATTTTCTCTCCCCTGCCCAGCTGAGGAAGGGAGCAATAAAGTAGTTTTGGCAGGCATCTGGTATCCAGCCACCATAATGAAGAATAACTTTTCTTGCAGGAAATAATATACAATAACAGAGACAATGTGTTTTCCTGAAGATAAATACTGACATCATAAGGTACCATACAGGACAACACTAAAAGCCCCCAGTTATCGCCTGATCAGTTCTTTGCTTACAGATCTCTTTGGAGTCTTTAGAGTTCTTCATGGAGGGAAAGGATTTGCAGATTGCACTATCTGATGAAAACCAAAACAGTACTCAGTATTTTTCTGGAGAATTGGGGGAACCTTACCAAATAGGTTTGAGAGTTCAGAAAAATAAGAAATCAACAACAGCAACAAATTTAGAAGACTGTTGGATGACTTCAGGAATGATGTGGTAGGATAGTGTATGTGGGAGAAAGATAAATGATCTGGGACTGGGATCCCTCCCAATCTCATCCCATGAAAGACAGTTTGATACACAGATGTCAATGTGTACACACACTGAGGCTTTGCTCTCTTATTTACAAAATTAGGACGGGTTATGTGCAAACACAGTAGCAAGACTATTAAAGGGATACCAGGTGTATATGCCTCCAAAAACTTGCAACAGAGCACTGAACAAAAAAGTTTATCTGCATTCTTAGTAACTTTAAAGTGGAAATGAAGCGTGCATGTGGAAACTTGATGAGAAAACAATTAACATCAGTTTGCCTTCTCCAAGCTCAGGTCCTCAAGGAAAAACAATACAAGCAATAAATTCCTCGACTCTTTATTTTCTAACCAAAGAAGGCTAGGTAAACAAAATTCATTAAAACAAATAAATTAACAGAAAAACTATAATTTCCTATTTTATGATAACCACCTGAGTAAAGGTGGTGGTAGCCACAAGTTCTGAGCTGTGGACTACAGCATGAGTCACGACTGCGGGCCTGAGCTAGAGAGGAAAGCATGAAAAGCAATCCTATCCCCTTATGACCTTTTTGTTCTTGGCTGGAGAAGTGATTTTCTTGGGACACTAACTGCATTTAACCAGCATCTTTGCCAAAACACAAACAGATTTTTACCTCGAAGGCCCCAACACGTTTAGCGGGTTTTTTTTTCCCTTTAAACTAAAAACCAAAATAACATGACTTTAATAGGAGACCTCGACTCAAAAAACTAAGGTCTGCAAACACAAACACGACCGTCATCGTTCATCAAAGCTTCAGCCGCGATCGCGGTGGCAAAACCCGGTCCGAGAGGCAGAGACGTGCCCGCCGTGCGATCCCGGGAGCGCAGCGCCCGAAGGGCCGCCCGGGGCACACGGGGCGTTTAACGCGGCCAGGGAGGAAGGGGCGAGGAGGGACCACCTCGGGAACTGAGACAAAGCGACCCCGAGCATGAGGCGCCGCGGCACCAGCGCTCCCGGCACTGCACAAAGGAAAGACCAACTTTAGGCTGGGCGGGCCCTCAGGGGAGACCTGGCGAGCGGAGCTGGCCCCGAGACCCTCCCGGCTGCTCGCGGCCCCCGCAGCTCCGCGGGCTCCGCTCGCCATCCCGCAGCCGTCCCGGGCCCGCGCGCCCACCTTGGCTACCGAAGAGGCTCCACAACTTGGCGAAGATCAGGCCCATGCCTGGCCCCGGCTTCCCACCGAGCCTCCTGGACAACCCGGGCTCAGCCAGGCGGCGGCGGTAGCGCTGGCAGCAACACCGGCTCCCCGGATCCCTCCGGCAGCGGCCCCGGAGCAGCGGGAGTGGGCGGGCGGCGGGAGGGGCGGGCACGCGGCACCGCCCCGCCCCGCCCCGCCCCGCCAACGGCCGCACGGCGGGGCCGCCCCAGCGCCGGCACGGCGGGTGCGTCACTGCTGCGTCAGCGCGGGGGCGGGCCGGGGGCAGCGCCTCTGCGGGGCCAGTTGCGAGGACAGCCCGGCCGTCCGCCCCGGTCTGATGAAAGGCCCGCGGTGCTGGGGCGGGGCACGGTCGGGAGGAGGGAGCCGCCTCGCCTCGCAAGGGAGGGGAGTCGCGGTGCCCGGCGTTGCAACGGGAGGCGCTGGCAGCGCACCTCGCCCGTCCCCGTGTCCTTCAGCCGGGCGGTGCTGTGGCCGGTCCGCGGCCTCTGCCTTTGACAAGAGTTGCGGGTTTCAAGGCTCACAGTTCTCTCCTGTGTAGTAAAGCGTGTAAAAACAGCTGGGCTCGCTTTCAGTGCTGTACTGCAGGTTCCTGCATACTGAGCTCTTGAGCGGGTACCCGGGTTTTATCACTCAGGAGAGGTCAGTCGGAGAGCACGAACCCTGCTCCGCCCTAGACGGGGAATCCACAGGCACTTAGATGCAGGAAGGGTGGAAGAATAAAACGTTATTATAATCAACGCATTTCAGCTTTTTCAGAGGGAAAACATTAAAAAAAAAAAAAAAGCGCTCTCAGCAACGCCTTGTCCAATGAGCTCGGGTGCCCCCGGGCTCTGGCCCCGCCCTGTTGCCGCCCTCCCTGTCCCCTAGTGGAGAGCGGGTGCGGCGGCTGCACCTACTCCCCGCCCCGGCCCCGGCGTTCCCGGCTCCCATGGCGACTCCGCACAGGCGGGACTTCCTGCGGTCGTCCCGGAGGAGGCGGGACCGGCCCGGGCCCGGCGGTAGGTGGGGGGCTGGCGGCCTGTCGGGGTTTGCGCCGGAGGGTCGAACGCGGTCCGGCACCGGCACCTGTGTGCTCCGCCCTTCTCGTGGTGTCCCAGCTGTCCCTCGGTGTCCGTCGAGGCTGAGGGGGCGGTGGCGGCAATGGCACCTCGCCCGTACTCCTGGGCTGAGGTGCCTCGCAGGGCGGCGAAGAGCTGTGTGTCCTGTCCTACCCCGTGGTGTTTTCAATAATGGACGGATAGGGAAATAAAGGAGGGCGCCCCAAATTCCGCTCCCCACAGCAATGAGCCGACTGACTTTTCCCTCGTGTGTGGAAGGGTGGGGAAGGGAGGTTTGAAAGAGTCGGCATCTCTGGTGCTGACTGCGTTTGACAGCTCGCAGTGTCCATTTGCGTAGTTAGATCAAAGCGCTGGTCCGGCGTCGCGTTCTTCGCTGCAGTTTCCTCCCCACTGAGGCACAGAGAAATCTGCAAGGAGATGGTGAATAGGGAGGGGAGGCTCCCTCAAGGGCTTTCTTCTGAAGTCCGTCAGACCTTTACTGTGTACGGCACAGCAGGTCTGGGCAAAACAATACCTCTCGCAGGTGTCGAACCTGCCACCTGCTGAACGCTTGAAGTCCGAGTCTTGTAGTTGGAGGGGCACTAAGGCTGTCTCCCTCATCCGCCTGGCTTCCTGCCGTGTCTGAATTTATAAGCTTCTATCCCCTCTCAGCTCTGTTCCCCAGACTTGAAGATTGCAAACTGTTTAGTTTTTCCATATTTGAAAGCATTTCATATTTGAAAGCATTTTTTCTAAGTTGCATTGAATCTGTTCTGAGATAATGGCCGCAGAAAGGGCATACATACCCTGCTCAAGCTGAAGGTTATGTGGATGTGCTCTGAACCTCCAGTTGTGTGGTTTTGACATTTCCAGGCAGCTTACAATGATTTTATTCTTTTGAAAGTTCTTTTTAACTGAGGAATTGATTTTCATTTGTGTTGTTTCTCTCCTTGAAATAAGCACATGTGGTATTTGTCATTCGAATGAATGTCTTGAGTCCACATACCTTAGAGTTTCTGTGACAGAGGAGCTGTTCTGTAGTCATGTTTCATACCAGGTCTGATGAACTAGTTACGGTCAAGTTTTAACTTCTCCTGTTACGCATTCTGTAACTTCCCGAAATGTTCATCCATCACCTGTGGTTAAAAGCATAGATCTGGCATCATGCTTCTGTGTGAGTCTGCCTGTCTATGCTGGGGGAATTGAAATCCCCTGGGTACTATTTTTACCCACTGACGGATGCCAGACCCCCCTTCCCAAAACCCTTCTGGGTAACTCCCACCAGATTATATACTGGGCAGACCATTCTGTGGTGTGGAATATCCCTTTGGTCAGCTCGGGTCACCTGTCCCGGCTATGCTCCCTCCCAGTTTCTTTTGCATACTTCCTCACTGGCAGAGCATGAGACAAGAAAAAAGTCCTTGACTTAGGATAAACACAACTTAGCAAAAAGTCAAAATATCCGTGTGTTATCAACACCATTCTCATTCTAAATCCAAAACACAACACTGTAAGAGCATCTGAGAAGAAATTAACTCTACCCTAGCTGAAACCAGGACAATGGGACAGGATTTGGAGGTGGTAACACTTCATATTTCAAACAGTGATACAGTAGCCTTGGAAGGTATGACTTGGAAGGATGTGGCAGCAAGGAAACCAGTAACCTCGCTGTAAGTTGATTACAAGTGCTAAATATGTTAATGAACATATTCTTCAGTGTAATTAAGAGTAGTGTTGAGTGCAGTAAAATTGCATTACTAAAACAGAAGAATCAGAAACCTCGGCTTAGGTTGTGAGTACATCTTACGTTACATTTATAAACTTAGAGAATATGATAAGAACCACTATGAAAATATTTTGCTTATTTCCATTCCTTACCAGCAGATTTTATAAAGGAAGATGTCCTTTTTCCCTAAAATCTCTTTCCAGTGTGAAGTTGAAGAGTATCTCACCAAAGTGTTCAGAAATAACGAGGTATGTGACATGGATACTACTAATCATCAACAAATAATCAAATTTTTTGTGTAACTTTAAGACCTTACAATAAAGTAATTGTCCTCACATTAGAAAGAGTTTTTATTAAAACGTATTTATATTTAAAATATAAAATTAATGTTTATGCCCATTGGCTCAAAAGAACATAAATACTTAAATTTATTTTAACACAAATCAGAGAATTCAGTTGATTCCACTGAAGAGAGATTATAGATAATTAACCACTTATTAACCACATAATATTGACAAGACATACTCCTTTACCCCAGTATAGAACCAAAAATATGATAGACAATCCTTTAATTCCTAATGCCAAAGGATAAAATAATTACATTTTTGTATATCAATATGAAAGTTACTAATTCATAGTTTTGAATCTACCCTTCCTTAGGACTGCTTTTGGTACAGTATGTCTATCACAGAGTAGTTACTTTTGATACTTACTGCAGACTATTTGAAATGATTTTGCTAATACAACTGTTCTTCCAATGAGTGCTTTTCAAGAAATTTATGAGGCTTCCAGTGGAATTAGACTTCCAGATACCTACATTTCTCACTATTGCACACCATACACCATATTCCTCCATTTCTATGGAATGTTTATTCAGTGGTGTCCTTTTGCACTGAGCAAGAGGCTGCTGTGTGAATCTCTTTAATATAAAATCTCTTCCTTTCAGCTTATCACTGCTTTAGGTGGACAGGAGGCAGAGAATAAATATCAATCTCTGTTAAGTCGTCTGTCTCATCCACCAAGTTTTACAACTGTAAGAGTTAATACCCACTTGGCCTCAGTGAACCATGTGAAAAAAATGCTGTTTGAAGAGATCCAGAAGGTTTGTGCAATTTCTTTGTTACAACAGAAAGAATAATTCATCTTTTGCCTGATTATGAGAGCTTTTAATTACTGGAAACTACACCTTACCTTAATGCATGTCCGGTGGTATTAGCATTATGCAATCATATCAATTTCCTGTCAGCATTAAATGTTAAATGAAAATTCACTGTCTAGCAGTATTCCTCATCTAACCCATCCAAGAAAGGCAATAATAGAGGGAAAAGGCAACCAACTTTTTTCACGTGGCAGATCCAAACCTTAGGATTGAGGTACTACTGTAGTAAATGCTGTCAAGGTGTCATAGGTCTATAGAGAAGATGGAAGATAAAAACTGTAGTTCAGTATGCTGTCTTCAGCATGTTTAGAACATTTTTTATTTAAGATTAAAGGAGAATGCCTGTATATCTCATTGCAGAAACTGTTTAGGAAAGTGAGAAAATCTGTATGTTTTAGAAACTGGAGACAAAGTGATGCTCTGCAGCTGCTGTATTTTATTTTTTTTTAACCTGTTTTTAAATTTTGTATAATGTTGTGGATTTTTACTTACCTTACTTAAACATTTATTTATATGATAATATATAAGCCATTATGTTTAAGAAGTTTATTATTTTGAAACTGTGTCCTAGATCTTCACTCTGTCTGAAAGGATCCAGTTCTTCTTTAAGTAAATTATTAATGCTAGTGGGTGTACAGGGAGCTTTTGCATGACAGGAGCCAAGATGTTTCTGTGATGCAGAGGCAGTTGACAGTTTTCTGCTGGCTGGAATGGTAATGAGCTATGCTAATTTTAGCTTGATTGTAGAAATCTGCAAGTGGGTATTGCAGTATGGTATTTTGCTTCAAGGGAAAAGGCTTTGCTGAAAACTGACTTAAGACTGGCTTTTCACAAACTTTTTGTATTTTGAAGTGTGATTAGAAAAGGAAGCCACATAACACAGTTTTAAACAAAATTATGGTCATGGATTTTCTTTTTTACTTATTTATCAGAAGCAAACTGATTTATGGTTTGAGGTGCTCAGGAGAGAAGACATCATGTTTTTAAAATCCAGGAACCTTTATAAAATGGCAAGCTGTCATTTTTTTTTTTTCAACTATCTTCACAACTCAGCTCTCAGTATCCAAAGTTAAGCTGACAAGAAAAATGAAAAGTAGTGCCAACCTGGCATGTTAAGTGAGACAGACAATACACGAGTGGAGTTAAACAGTGGTTTTAAACTAATAACATCAAAAAGATAACACAGGTTAGACCCAAGCTTCTCTGGTGGTGTTGCTGTGTTCTGATGACAACTCGACTCAACCTTCTTCGAGAAAAAAGAAAAAGCCAGTGGTAGGGATATGAGTGTCAAAACACTTTCCCACTCCATGAAATCAGTTCTCAGACAATCCCTTTGTGGCCTTGTTATTTCTCAGTTTATTAAATGTTTAGACTTTTACACCAGTATTTTTAATATTGAGTGTCCCCTTACACACTATTTCCCACTCATTTTTATCTGTTTTCAATACCTTTGTTTTTTGTGCTCTACAGGTATAAATTATGAATGGAAAAATAGTTTTCAGTCTAATTAAGTATTTAAATATTAAGTTTATTAGCAGTGCCTAATAATTATGTCTTTTGTTAACGAAACAGCAGTTCAAAGGACTATGTATTCCAGTTCTTGAGCACCCAGAACTCCAGGACATCCTGTTAATTCCTGTCATTGGACCCAGGTTTGAAATTTTCAGTCTTTCACCTTAAAATGTTGTAACACATTTTACTTACAGATTTCTTGTTAAACAGTTGTGATAACTAACTCACTATAACTGAAGCACAACTTCATTTATATTATGACCTTGTGGACCATCATATACTAACCAGGTCAGAGTTTTAGTTATTAAAAGATATAGGAAAACATAGGAGGAGTTTTGTGCTTATTTATGAGACTAATGTTTTATAGGAAAAATGTAACATAAGTGCATCCTCCTTGGAAAGCCAGGTAGGTGGCATACAGAAGAGCTGAACTTTTGCAGCGGAATATAGAACTAGAGATAAATATGGGCAGGATTTTTTTACACTGGAAGAAATCAAGTGGAATCAGGAAGTACTGAGAAGTTTTTAAACGCAAAAAAATTACTTTACAATCGCCTGACCTAGAAAGGGATAGAGGATTATTTCTCCATCGCAGTACAATTTTTTTGTATTCCTGTGTTAGCTTCTGGCAGAATGTGCCAGAATCTGCATTGTTTTGAGGACTTTTCTTCTTGGCTCTTTCCTTTGACTTCTCTGGGACTAAAATAAATCTTTTACATGTAATACATGATATTTAAGCACTTTTTCTATTATATTCTGACAAAATCAGTATTTATGAACTAGAGTTTACTTGGGGAGTATTTGCCTTTTTTTCAGTATACTTTTTTTTTAACTGAACTACATTTTGTGTTTCTAGGCGAGACTTAAAAAACCATCCATCTGAAGTAATTGTTGGAGCCCAGTGTGGATATGCAGTACTTCGAGGAGCACACGTTTATGTCCCTGGAATCGTATCTGCCTCAAGATGTAAGAGTTCTCTGAATACACCCAGTTAAGTTGTAAAGCCAACAGAAAAAGTGTCAGCCTTTGATGACAATTTCCAATAAACAGTGATATGAAATTTTTTTCTATTCACAGCTGAAATTAATCTTAGTTGTAATTTATGCTAATTACATTTTTAAGGTTTTTCTGGATTTTTTTTCCTTCCTGAGATTTTCACTATTTTTCATTGTACTTGTAATGAATTAAATGTAATTATTTCTCACCTGACCTGTTTTAAATTCCTTTTTCCATATGTAATTTCTACCTTAAGTATTAGTTCTCAAGGATTTCTTGGTCACATTTCAAAACCTTTTTAAAGAGCATTTTCAACGTAAAACATGGCTTTATAAGAATTTTTTTGAACTAAATACTTTAACTTTTAATATGGATGTTCAGTTGAATAAATTTACAGAAGTTAGCTGCTTTCCAGTCTTGTAAAGAAAACCCCAAAAACACAGGATGCCACATCTGGATGGTGCCTGGATGTATCTTGATTATTCAGTAGATACTGTTTCCAGATATGTTATTTCTTCATTCAGTCACAAAGCCACTTACCTTCATCATCTTGTCAGATTTTAAGTTACAGATCTATAAAAACCCTAATTTCCTTTTTTTTAATCCATTGAAAATTCATTTGATACTATTTGTGTACGAGAGATCTAGTAAAAATCTTTTTTCATTGATGAGAAAAATCTTCAATTTTAATGTCAGATTCTTAAGAAATGGAAATTATGTTTCAATGCCTGTGAGACAAGATTAAAAAAATCTACATATACCTGCTTTGTGTTAAGCAGCCTATTTATTTTTTATTTAAAGGTCAAATTATCTTTATGTAAAACCAGTATAATTTTGGGTGATTCACCTTATTATTCTATTGTGATGAGATCTACTAATCATCATGGTTCTTATTATTAAACAAAGTGAGTCAGGAAAGCATTTACCTAGTCACTTCAATTCTCTTTCAGGAAAAAAAACACTTTAAGAAGTTTTGAGCATGTGCTTAAGTCCAATTCATTGAACAGAAATGTTTTTCAATCTAGGACTCAATAATGAAATAAGTATATTGCCTGAGCAGTTGTTGAAGCTGCTTATTTAGACAACGTAATAAATATTCAAATCCTGCTTTGAGTCAGCTAGTGATTTATCATAATTGCTGCATGTAATTATGCATGCAACATCAATTCAAAGAAAAGAAAAGATATTATAAAACTTCAGGAACACTTCAGGGGAATTGCAGATAAGAAAATAAAATTAAAGGGCATGCTACCCACTTGATGCCAAATATAATAAGGCTGTATTAAGCACAGATGGTCTAACTGGGGAAAAAAAATAGTACAGCAAGAACACATTTAATCACCAAACTTCCAAGCCAAATGAGGGTAAACTAATGATCGGGGGACTTTGAGTTTAATTTAACTAATCAAACCCTAAGCTTTATGTTTATGGAATGCCAGAATAAGCTACAAAAAGCTTAAGAACTATATACAGTACTAATGCATTTTGAAAGGACAATTGTCAGCAGAGAGTGAAATAAAATCATTTCTCTTTGATTACTGCAAAACATAATTGGCAGATACGCTGTAGGTTTTTGTTCAGTGAAGTTTGATCAGACAGTGAGCTATCACATAATATTTTGTGTCACATTGTGTAAAAAGAAGCTATGTAAAAATAAAATATTTCAGTGGCTACCCAACAAATATTACCATTTAAAATTTTCAGGGTATTTGTGCATAATCAGAAGGCCACTTGAAAATGGAAAAAAAGGATTCCCAAGTGCAATTCAAAGAATTCCTGGGAAGCTGAACTGTCATTAATCTTACTTGTTATACCATCTGGTTCCTCCAGCTTGTCACTCATGTCAGAAATGTAATTCTGGAAAATTGTTTATTGGTTTCAGAAGAGACCTTTACTTTTAACATTTTTCATCCAGTCAGCGCACAGAGCTTGCTCACTCTTCTGCAAAATCATCTAAACCATCCCCCTTTTCCATCTATTTTTGTTCTAACTCAACAAGTTTTTTAAAGTCTGAATGATTACACTTCTAGTGTTTGGTGCATATTTACATACTTCACTGATCTGGTAGGTTTTAATTGGAGATAAAAAACTCTGTAAGAGGATTATTGAGAACAGCAGTTGCCTTAGAGGGAAGAAAACCAGACTAGAACGAGAATATATAATCACTTGTATTAAAGCAATAGTTAGAGAAAAAGCAGCTGTAGCTATGTTCTACCTAGCTATTGAGAGGTCATTAGACAAATTTAGCATTACTGTCTTTGTTTAGTAAGTGTGAACCGGTCTTGTTTGATATACTCTTGTGCTTGGAGCACATGGAGAGGACTGCATCCTGAAGAGTGTGCTGAAAATTTATGGGTGACCCTGCTGTGATCAAATAAATAAAGTGCAGATTTTGTAACCTCTTAGAAAACAAGGCCTACTATCTGACTTGCAGCTTGGTGTTTCTCAGTAGCTCCAGTCATTTGGTAGCCATCATTTACCACCTAACACTTTAAAGCTTTATATCGGTTAATCTTCGTCTTTGATTACATGAAGAAAGTTTAAAGCTTGATATGATACAGGAGTTGAAGTAAGTAGTCTACTGAAAATCCTAAATTATGTGGTCACTACTGTCTTGTTAAGTGTCATGTTGATCTCAGAGTTTCTGTTCTTCTATCTGCAGTTGTGAAAGCTGGAGATCTGGTCTCAGTGTATTCAGATATTGAAGGGAAGTGTAAAAGAGGAGCCAAAGAATTCAAAGGAGTCAAAGTTTTCCTTGGAAATGGGATTTCAGAACTGAGTCGCAGTGAAATCTTCAGTTCAAGTGGCCCATTGAAGTAAGTCCATTGTAACTTCAATCTACACCTACAAATTTGCAAAGGGAAGGAAGAAGCTGGGATTTGAAATGTTCTGGACCCTATGTGAAAGCATAAGATGGCCTTGACTGAGACCTATGTTGTATGTTGGGATTTCCAGTATTTTTGGGGAAGCGTTTAGTTTCGTAGTGGTATCCAGATACCAGTTTACATGAGTGGTAGGAGGAAATAAGTGGGAGCTTTTTCATAATTTGTGTACAGCATGTGACTTCAGCAATACAGAACAAACACAACTGACAAATGTTCTCACTGTGGCAAAATTGCATTTTGGTGAATTATTCTGTGCCATTTCCCTGTTTGGATGGAACAGAAGTCAGCCTTGCCAATTTCTCCATCTTTTAAAAATATCTGTGAGGGCCTTTGTTTTGGTGGGACAGGGGACAGAACATAAGGTCAGATATCTTAAAAAAATTAATAGCATCTGCCAAGATAGTTATCTATTTCAAGATTACGTGCTTTTGTATTTTGTTGCTGAAGGATATGGTTTATTCCTCTCCTGTCATTTAAAACACATATAAAAAGTGAATCTGGTGTCTACAAGTTTGCTTTCTCATATCCTTCCTTCTCCATGTTGAACTATCCAGTACATATGCAAAATAATACTCATTCTTGTTCTCTTCAGTAATCTTTTGTTTTCAGGCTCAGACTTGCTTTTTCTTGGTTTTCTTTTTCTTGTTGTCAATTTCCTGATACATTTGTTTTAACAATTAAATCTGTGTCAGGATTTCATCCATATTTAAAACCTCAGGTTGCTTCTAAGTTCAGACCTTTGCTTTGCAGGCAAATCGATGTACCTGTAAGGCTTTTCATATAAGATTTCTGTAGTTATTTGACTGAAACCTCAGATAGTTTACAAAATGGAGGAAAATCTAAGTAGGAAATCATATGCCAGTGCCCTGGTGCATACATGGCTAGCCAAAAGCAGTTATGGGTTGAAGCTACCATATTTAGAACTGTTTTTATGCGTTTCTTTACAGTATCAAGGCTTGGATGATCTTGGTTTGTCCTGTGTAGAAAAACATAAATTTGCTTTATGCAATTTTACAGCTGATTCCAACTTACAATGTAGTGCATTTTTTGTCATGGTTTACTCAACTTAATGATGTCATTTTTAAGAATATCAGATTACAGAAGTATGAAAGTATTTTTATGTCATTTATAAATTCTTTCATTTTTGTAAGATTGTTGTTTCAAGCTGCTATTTGTAAGCATAACAATTTTAATTGAATATTGTTAAAATTTATAAAACTGAGTAGTTGAAATTTTTTTTCATGTTTTTCAGGGGGCTGGGCGTAAGAATGATAGAGCCAGTCTACCTTAGTCCTTCATTTGACAATGTGCTCCCTAGTCATTTGTTTTTACAGGTATGTTTGTACAAAAATAAAAGTCTGTACTATTTACAGAATAATGAATATTGTCTTAGCACACACTAATTATATATTTGTTGTGTATTTTAACATCTAATTCAGTCTTTGGATTTAAGGAAAACAAAGCATTTGGAATGAAGTCAATATCTATATGTAGGTGGTTTAATCATACTGTGTCTGAGAT